TGTTGTTGATACAGGCTGAGTGACGAAGATTTCCAGATTGGTTTCAGGTTGATGAATGTGTTTCTCACCTTCCAGATTCTGGATTTGACATCGTCGTCCGTTCCTCCTGTAGTTGAAACAATGCTCCCTAGATAAGTGAATGAAGTAACCTCTTTCAAATCCCTCCCGTTGATGGTGATTGGCGCTGGATGTTGCTGTTGTTGTTGTTGGTTGGTTATTTTCAGAACCTCCGTCTTGTCTATGTTCACCTGGAGTTCTGTCTTTGCTGCTTCTTAAGCCAGTTTGTCGGTTTTCGCTTGTAATTCTTCGATTTTGTGTGACATCAAACATAAATCATTCGCGAAATCCAGATCTTCTGGGTTCTTCGCGTCGGTCCAGGATATCCCTGTCTCCTCGTTTCCCACTGTCTGACGCATAATCCAGTCCACCACAATTAGGAATATCATTGGTGATAATAAGCAAACACCCTTGTCTGATTCCTGTGTTTACTCCAAACGCCTCGCTGAGTTTTCCGTTGTGAATCACTTGACATGTGCCGTTGTCGTACAGCTGTTGAATAAGGTTGATGAATACTTGGGGTACGCCGTAGTACTCGAGTAGTTTCCAAATTACTTCGCGGTCAACTCTGTTGAACGCCTTCTCAAAATCTATAAAGTTGAGGTAGAGATTTGATTGCCATTCCATACTTTGTTCGATTATGATGCGTAGAGTTGCAATTTGGTCAGAACATGATTTGCCTTTCCTGAATCCAACTTGTTCTGGTCGGAATTCTGTATCCAATGCGTCCTTTATTCTCTCCAGGATGATGCGACTCAGAATTTTACTTGGCGTCGACAGGAGCATGATTCCTCGCCAGTTCTCGCAGAGTCCTAGGTCACCCTTCTTTGGCAGTTGTCTCAGCGTAACTCAGCGTAATTTTGGACGTCTTATCTTCAAATCACCATTTGCACAGATCTTTTGTGTTGTGCTACTTTTGTCCTTCATATTGCATTTCTTTGTGTTCCTTTCACATCTCGCATATTTCTTTGCAACGCTGAATAATTTGCTTTCTCTGACGTCAAATCTGTTTTCCTGCTATTTGATAATTTTTACGCCAACGAAAGTCTCGTGATGTACTACTAATAAATCTAATCAGTAGCACACACCACAAATTGACGATGAAGTAGTATGTGTTCAAGAGGCGTTAGAAAAACATTTCTGAATACATTGCTTAGTATTTTGTTAACGTATATATAACCGGAGGTTCGGCTAAACAACAGTGGAAATAACATAAATGCTTACGGTGACTGAGAATCAGCACGTAGATAACTATAGACGGTGAATGGCTTGTGGTTGCTATTAGTTGACTCCAGAAGGTTTTACACATTGAAGACTTCGTCAACCGTAAACATGTAGCTGAACAGTGTATCCGGTTGGGTGATGAAATGCGAGTATAGGATAATAACATCTTCCATTTATGATCACCCTCTAAATTCAGGTAAGCTGTAGCCGAAAGCCATTCATCCTGTGAAGTTATCTACGGCGTATCACTGAAGCTCATGTTATACTTGTACAGCAACCTGAACTATATATTCAAAGACGTCTTCAACGCCATTCCTTTACCTAGGACATTTTAATTATTCCTTCACGTTCCCAGTGGAATGTATGACTTCAAGGTAGAGCTTTGAAGTTTCGGTAGCAGTGGTCTTAACTTTTACGGAGTGGATTTACTGGTGTCATGCGCAAGCTTCCCTCTTTCCCAGCCTTACTACTCGCTTAGTGAGATTAACATGTTTGTTGGCAGGAGATCGAACCCAGAAACCCCATAAGTGCTTGAGAAGCACTCTATCGCTGTACCACCGATGCACTCACCTGGGTCATAGTAATTATCCTTTTCTATATTTACCTGACCTCTTGGGTAAATTCCACTCTACTCCATCTTCTCCATTGTTATTAGTTCATCATTGCAGTTTTAACAATTTTGAAAAAAAAGGAACTACTCTGAAAAATAATCTCAGTAAAAAGTTTGAGCATTGTGGATTAGATCAAATAAAGTATAATTATATTTCAATAGTTTACACACAATGATAAGTTTTGTTATTGGTAATATTTCGAGCAAAATTACTGCCCGTGTTCACACCACTGTTGGAATTGTTTGATTCACACATTGATGATTTGTACTCATATATATATAGATCATTATTTTTGCTCATTCATGTTTTTTTTGTATTTGAGTTATATTCCACGTTCATTCATGTGTTTGCATTCAGAATTATATTCCAAGTTGTTGATAGTTGTACTGAGTCACCCTTGTTACATGTATCCGGTGTGACTTTAATGAATATCGATTCTGTTATAGGTCTTTCTTTCCATTTGTTCATGTTAGTTTTTAGAGTACACACATTGTCCAAATCGATATTGTGGTTTTTGTCCCATGCATGTGCAGCTATCGATGAATTTTTTTCAAGATTCTTGTAGGCTTGTGTTCCTGTTGGTTGACCTTTGGTTAGGCGTTTATGTTCATTCACTCTTATTTTGAGTGATCTGGACGTTTGCCCCACATATTTACAAAGAATAACAGATGGTAGCATTAAAAAGACGCTATATAGAAAAACCACACACTCTGGAAGATTCCTTGATTATCACTCAGCTCATCCACTCACGATGAAACGAGGATTAATACAAGGTCTTGCAGATAGAATATGCAGACTCAGAACAACGCCAGAGGACCAATGTAAAGAAATAAATGTCCTATTCAAATTGCTACTCGAAAACAACTACTCAAAAGAATTTATAAAAGATAATATAAAAAAGAGGGGAAAAACCGGAGAATAACAAGATGGAAGAATGAAGAAAAACAGTCACAATACCGCATAAAAATGGTACATCAGAGGCAATTCAAAGAAACCTCAAAAATATCGGCATTCACACAACTTTTAAACCGACAAATCTAATCAAAAGTAAAATAAATCAACTGAAAGATCCCATAAAAATGATGGATAATAACAACTTGATTTACAAAATATCTTGCGCTGACTGTCCGAATAAATATGTGGGACAAACGTCCAGATCACTGAAAATAAGAGTGAATGAACATAAACGACTAACCAAAGGTCAACCAACAGGAACACAAGCCTACAAGAATCTTGAAAAAAATTCATCGATAGCTGCACATGCATGGGACAAAAGCCACAATATCGATTGAGACAATGTGTGTATTCTGAATATGAACTAACATGAACAAATGGAAAGAAAGACCTATAACAGAATCGATATTCATTAAAGTCACACCGGATACATGTAACAAGGGTGACTCAGTACAACTATCAACAACTTGGGATATAATTCTGAATACAAAAACATGAATGAACGTGGAATATAAGACGTTTAGGAATGAGATAGTGTCATTAATCTCTTTGTCTGTGGTAACGTTTAATACTGAATGGGCATCATTAAACTTGTCAGAGATATTCACTGCTTCATTCTCGTTTTTCAAAAAGCAGAAATGTATCATCCATATGTCGACAGTATAAATCATACTGATTAATCACTCCTTTCGCGTCGGTGGTATAGCGGTTAGGACGCCGGCCGACCATGTACATGGTCCGGGGTTCGATCCCCGGCCACCGACGCACTCCTTTACCTCGCTAAGCAAGAAATAATGCTGTTACACAGGTAAGGTTGGGCATGAGGCTAGCAACCCCATCCTGTAAAATAAACACTGCTACAGAAACCTCAAGCCACTAGTTTGAAGCCTTATGTTCCACTGGGGAACATGACGGAAAAATAATCACTCCTTTCAGTGATCCATTCTCTAACTGAGCGAGAGAAAAATCAGCTTGTATAGTACTCATTAATTGTTGGATTTCATTACAAACTGATATCCGTTACAGGGATCACTGAAAATCAGGAAGCACTGGTGTTTCCTTCCAGTTAGAGACTCTGTAGCAGTGCGCACCTCTGACTCTAATAGACATTGAACCAGGTAACTTCAGTTTTGAGACGAGACCAAGGTTGTTGATAACTCAGTCATCTGAGTAGGAAATCTATGACCTATGAATTCTTACTTTATCAACAAATGACTTAGTGCTACTGTAGAGAAGAAAAGATCAACGAGGATCGAAGGAATCTGTCAAGGAACTTAACTCTGAGTTCCTATTATCTCCGAAGATGCTCGAACTGATAATTACTTAGTACGATATTGACCTGAATTCCAAAACACAAGGACCAAAAAGAAGTTGTATTGTTCGGCAGTTAAAGTCAATACTCTTTAAAAAGTCTATAAACAAATATTTTACAAGGAATGTATTGTACTTTGATTCATATTTCTTTGTCTTCTTCCAACTTATACACGATTGAATCCTTCGCGCTTTCTAGTTGCCCGCCAATGGCGACCAAGGCCAATGAACAAACATTCAATGTTCACATTCATTTACAGGATCTTTATTAGAACAAACGTATTGCAGGTACACAAATTTAGTACACTTATCTTCAATGGTTTATTTGCACATAAGTCGAATATCGTCACCGCATTCGATAGCTTGTGGGATTCCATGCAGTGTTTGTAACGTTCTTCTTACAGTTCTCTGCTTCGATTGCCTTTTTCTAGTGTTCAAAGCCTACTGTTACTTTTCTGAAATCGCTTACTGTTATACTACTTATATTTGATTATAAGTAGCACTCACCACACTACCCTTGTGAGTGCCTTCAATGAACATTCACTTCACACGTGAACATGGCGGACTCCATTGTTCACGACTTCTGACTACTTCTTAAGGAAATCAATGCAGTAGCTAATAATTGGCTTGAGATTGAATTCTGACACAGTTGACTGAACGGTCAGTAGATTTAGTCTTGTAATCATGAGAATGAAACAGATATTCTAGCATTGCTCCTTGATTTCTAATGATCTTTTTTATAATTGATGTTGATTCGTGACGGAGCCCAAATGTGTGAAATGATTTTTTGCAGCTTTGTTGTTTGACTCTCCCCCACCTCCTTCATGCTTACACATTTTGTAGCTCATACCAAAATGTGGGCTGTATTTACACTTCCAATACTCACTGTCTGCTTTAAAGATGGCAAACCAAGTTCTGAATATGGTCCAATAAATCCAACGGATAATGCTACATACACGTACTTACGTCCAATTTTCCATGAAGTCCTCAGTGTATTCCCTGATAGTATGATACATCTGGGCGGTAGAGATGTGTCATATGAATGTTGGTAAGTTTGAAAGTGTTAACTTAACCTCATGTTTCGCTGTAACAGTCTTAGAGTTTTCGACTTTTTATTGATATTCCCCTGTGCTTCAAGTGGTATATAGGGCGTCAGTAGAACGCATAAATTTCGTCCTATTCCTCACAGTCCTTCAGAGATTGCTCTATGATAACTGATGAGCACTTAACTCCTACCCACAAGCTATCTCCCATGTTACTCTCCATCTCAAGCCTCTACTCGTCGTTTCCTATGCGCTTCAATTCGAGGGCCTTGATGTCATGATGTCACTAGACAACCTTGTCAGCGTGTGTCCAATCCACCTCAATCTCCTTTGACACATAAGGTTTTGACTGGTTCGTTATCAGAGTTATTTATTGCTTATACATTCTGGTCGGCCGTCTGTTCATAGAAGTCTGCCTCTAGCCTGTGTGTTAATTCTTATGGTGACCCGCCATGTATCAAAACCATAAAGATGCACTTGAGTTCTTGATAGCATCGTTTTAAAATCCAAATGCAGTGGAGTTGCAGGCTAATTTTAGATTTTCTATAGTTGGTTTGTAAGGATTAGTTTTGTTTTTACGAGTTGATCACGGATTGATATCAGTTAATGAACCATCGATGTATGTAGACAATTATGGACATGAAATTGTTTCGGAAAATGTAGAAATTTTAAACAGCGTGGTAAAACGGAAGTCGCTATCAGAGTATTCCTAGAATCCTCGCAGGCAGTTGAATCAGCAATTAACAGACATATTACTCTGGATAAAATTTGTGAATCAATAAAAACAACGGCTTATATGTTTTTCTATAGTTTGGTTTGTAAGGATTAGTTATGTTTTACGAGTTGATCACGGACTGATATCAGTTAGAGAAGCATTGAAAACCAGGGAGTACTGGACAGCTGTGGTTTCACCCTAGTTTGGGAGTCATCGACAGTACGCACCCACTGGGATTCGAACCCAGGACCTTCCGGTTACAAGGCAAGCTCGTATACCATTCAGCCACTGGGACCCGATTCAATGGCTCATGAATTCTAACTTCTACCAATTCGTGATTTAGCGCGACCCCAACCATTGTCGTTGGTGGGACATCCATCCACATACGTGACATCTAATTGGACCTCACTGGTCACGACTTCTCACTAGAACTCCAGGAAACTCCATCCTGTAACAAGTCACTAGCGAGCATCAGATTAATTACATGACAAAGAAGTTTAGAATTCCAAGTCTGCAGAAAAAGGATTAATCAAGGTATACATTAACAATCAATCACGACAGAGTTGGTCACTCATAGGGAATCCAAAAGAGTTGAAAACGTCGTGTGACCAATACACAATTAGGTTTCTAAAGTAATAATCCGCACCACTAACTTTATCAAAGTTATATAACAGTGTAGCCTAAAATGTAACCGTCTTCCCTGACTACTGAATGTGAAATGTGTCAACCTCCAGTGAATGATGGCTATCTTTGTTTTGTTACAGGATTTTCATCATGAGCTAACATTAGTTAGAGAACCATTGAAAAACCAGCTGGGAGTACTGGACAGCTGTTTCGCCCTAGTTTGGGACTCTTCATCAGTATGCACCCATCGGGGTTCGAACCCAGGACCTTCTGGTTACAAGACAAGCTCGTATACCGGGTTAGAACCCCGGTGGGTGCGTACTGATAAAGAGTCCCAAACTAGGACGAAACAGCTGTCCAGTACTCCCAGGTTTTCCAATGGTTCTCTAACCAATGTCAGCTCATGATGAAATCCTGTAACCAATCAACCAAATCCCTACAAACCAATACTTGAATATCTTTGTTTTGATGTCCAAATTGTTAAAAAAACTTTCATACGCATTTTCGACTCTGTTTCAATTTTTTAGGCAGTCTAATATTTTCATTCAAGAGTTTATGAATAAAACAGGATACGGGGATGACTACACAAAATTGGAGAGTTATTATTTTCAGCGACTTATGACGACTATTCTAGGCGCAAATTCATCAGAATGGACAGCATCACCGATTGTCTGGCAAGATGTATTCGAGAATGGATTTCGTGTAAGTTGTGATTTTTTCTAAACACTTTTCTTTGAGTTAAGTTGTTTTTAAGCATCTCAAACAAACTACAGACCTTCATTAACAGCTAGCTGTCTTCGCTCAATACTCAAGATCAGATGGCCGGCCAGAAAGATCAGCAACAGAGAAAGATCTCTGGCAATGAGCGAACCAACACAGCAGGAACCGATTGTGAAACAAATAGGCAGGAAGAAATGGAGATGGATTGGCCATACTCTGAGGAAACCATCAAGTGACATCACTAGACCCGAAAGGGAAGCGGCGAGTTGGTCGTCAGTGCAAGGGTGACTTGGAGGAGGTCATGTGAAGAGGAGATGAAAACGTGTGGGCAGACATAGAGCCAGGTGAAGACTCTAGCAAAGGACCGAACGCAATGGAGACGCACGGCTGAAGCCCTATGTTCCTCTAGGAATTAAAGGATACAATAATAATAATAAGCAGTTGATTTCAGATAGTTTAATCACGATAACCGTTAGGTTATTTGAGGTATATTCTAGAGAATCGATGAATAAACTCCTGGAGGATATCGATCTGTATGACTACATGTCAAGCGAAAGAAGACCAGGACAGGAGAAGTGATTGGATCTGTTTATTCAACACACAGAGTACCGGTTGTTTTAGGCGGATCGCAATAGACTATGCTGTTCGGAGTATGCGGTACCCGGATGCTATTGACACTTTATCTAGTACTCGATAGATGATGGCGAAGGTTTAGTCAATGCTAGCTCACTTTGTGGCCAGTTTGGAACAGATAATCTAATATCGAACTATTGATGCTTCCTCAGTACGCCTTTATTTAAACACAGTGGCAGATGTTCTCGAGCAAGCATGAAAAATCAAGTTCCTAGTGCAATGACCAATATAACTCGTCCCATCACAAGTGCAGTTGAATTGGTAGACACAATTAAAAGTGGTTAGTCTAGTCTAGGTAATTCATCTTTCGATTGAGAAATTGCTATTGGTTGTGTAGAAAAAAAATACTTGTAGTGTGCGAACATTAAAAGTTCTTTGAACTGATTTTCTTAACTTCTTCGAAATTATTTCGCTAGGTGTATCGCCTTTGAATTGCAGTCATATGTATAAAAGCTTCTTGTTCACGGACCGTCCTTGAACAGTGCTTTTCAGCATTCTTAGTCATATATTTTCTGATGAATTTGTCTGGATAACTTTTTCAATCAAGATATCTTATAAAATCCTCAGTTCATCTTCAATTACCACTTCTGAGCACATAACTCTGACCCTGTGGCTAAATTCATCAAACATGCTTGAATTAGGGGAGGCACATTCGAAATAAACACCGTTATTTTTGCAATTAAAAGTGTTCTCTGAGCTGCTTGGTTTAGTTGCGGAGCTTTCGTCGTCCTTCTGGACAACATCTTCAGCGCAATATTTAGCATAAAGTGGAATGATTTAAATTTCTTCATGAGTGATATAAATGCGTCTCCTGGTAACTATCTTTACATATGTATTGACCACTTTCTATTGACTAGGATTTTAAACTTTCTGGTCACCTGATTTACTTTTTATTAGTTGGTATATTTCGTCTATATTAACCTGTTTGTTAATTGCATTTTCGTTTGAGTACCAGGCTTCTAGGAATTCCCTGCCACTTTTGGTGCTTCCTCTATCTTAAAGTTTGACATTATCCCAATCGAAATGATGACCATAATTGTCTATATGCATTGATACTAAAGAATACATATCGTGTCTTTTCACGGCTGATTTGTGTTCTTGGATTCTGATTCGAAAAGGACGCCCACTTTGGCCGATGTAATGCTTGTTGTTATTTTGTAAATGGTATTAATTTTATCTCCTTTTTCCGTTCTAACTTTTGGTTTGCATAATATCGAATTAAGCGATTTTACTGGCTTGTGTGCTATATCTATATCAAACGGTTTCAGTATTCTGGCTGTTATTTCAGAGATATTTCCCATGTATGGTAGAATGAATTTTCTTGTGGTCTTTGATGATGGTTCTTTGTTGGTGTTTTGATTCGACTTTAAACACTTTTTGATGAAATTTTGTGGATAACCATTCTTTTTGAAAGCCGTTTGTAGGTACTTTTCTTCCATTCTTTTCAACTCTGGAGTGCTACAATGTGTTTGAACTCTTTTAAACAATATCTGCACACAGTTTCGTTTGTGAGTAACTGGATTATTGCTAGTATAGTTGAGTATTTGATCTGTGTGCGTTGATTTTCTATATACTTGTGTTTCTAAATCTCCTGTGTTGGTTCTCCTGATTAAAACATCTAAAAATGGGATTTTGTTATCTAATTCTTCTTCTCTTGTGAATTTGATGTCTTCAAATATGTTGTTTATTAATTTATGAGTATATTCTAAATCATTTCTCTTAATTATTACAAATGTATCATCAACGTAACGTATCCAGATTTTCGGTTTAATTATAGGTAGAGCTATTAATTCTAATCTTTGCATAACAGCTTCAGCTATTAATCCTGATATGGGCGATGATCCCATTTGGTGTCCCTTTTATTTGTTCATATATTTGAGTATTGAACTGGAAGTATGTTGTAAGGCATAATTTTATGAGTTCTATCCAAGTTCATAATTGCGTTTTTATGTTTTCATCACTATAGAGTAATTGTTGCATAGTTTCTGTTGCTAGTTTTGGACTAATTGAAGTATATAATGCTATGACATCAAAGGACACCATTATTTCACTGTCTTCTACTTGTATGTTTTTGCTTTTCTCTAAAAATTGGATTGACGAATTGATAGATTGGTCGAATGATTCTGTAAGGTAATTTAATTTCCTGAAAAGTTCTTTAGATAGATTATATGTTGGTGTTCCTGGAAGCAAAACGATTGGTCGTAAGGGAATGTTTGGTTTGTGTAGTTTTGGTCTACCACAGAATCGAGGTAAATTTAAATCATTTCACTTTAGGCTAAATATTGCGCTGAAGATGTTGTCCAGAAGGACGACGAAAGCTCCGCAACTAAACCAACCAGCTCAGAGAACACTATTAATTGCAAATCATCCACCTGAGCTACAAATCTTCTCTGTCATTTCATAACTCGAGAATATTCTGCACTTTCCTTACTAGACTTCTAAACGAGTACTGCCATTATGACTTGGATTTCAAGAACTTCTTCCATTCGCTTCTACGATCACATATTCACCAACACTTCTCAAAGATGAAAAACAGTGTAATCCAATCTGCTAAAATCTGTATATTCATGTATTGCTTATATCATGCAAAAGAAAGGTTGATCTTAATTAATACTAATTCAGTGGAGGACGAATGGTTAGTCCCTAAAGCGAATGTATTCACCAGTCAATTAGATATATAGCCATTTTTAAACATTCAGGTTGACAGAATGGTGGGGTAGAGCATGCAGTGTTGCTGCAGTTAGCCATTGACATGATACTTATCTGTCGAGTCAGTTAACTCGCTAATTGCTCTAGAGTGAATATGAATTCATATTGGTTGCTGAATGCTTTGTGAATCCAAACTAGACATCTCATTTCGAAATGATCATCATTCCAAGCTCCATAAGTCACTTGTTTGGTCTGTATAAGGAATGCGCTGATATAACCAATTTTTGATAAAACACAAGTGGATCCAAAGTTCTTAATAAACGTCCAGTGTTCAGAAGCCTGTTCTCATCTGTAACCTTCGCCACGACAATCAAACAAGAGTAACTGCATTCCAAATCTCAATTTATCTTAATGAATGTTTGAAAAATCAATGTCATTGAAATAAGGATAATAGGTTTTTGCATAATTTGCCAACTTCATATCTTCCGCTTCTCATTTTCAGGAAGACGTTCCTGTCATTGTTCACTTGTATAAACCCGGTTGGGAGCAAGTTTTGGATGAAGTCACAAAAGCAGGATATAGAGCTATATTGAGTTCATGTTGGGATTTGAGTACAGTGGAACCTGGTGATGACTGGAAGAGAATCTATGAATGTGATCCTATTTCATTTGAAGGTAAAATTGGTTACTTTTTATTCGACCTTTGATGTATGCATTACTCTAAAGTTATTGAATTGAAACAACCTCATAACTGGAACGATAATTACCGAAAAACACTGTTTTAACAATTTTGACAAAAGAAATATTTTTGAAAATTCATAATAAGGGGTTACAAAATGAATGAAGTTGTGAGCTGCCTGGTGAGTAGTAACCAATGAAAATTCAGAGAAAACACACCTAAAGGTGTTGAAAGAATAATGACAGAAGATTTGGTTGATAATAATTATCCAGAGAGGTTTCTAAGAAGATAAAGCGGTCAGAATTCAACATGACAGCCCGCATATATCACCAGTAGCATACACAGAAACGTCAGTAGACAACAATTCTCCGACCAAAAAACAGAAATCCTAAATGCGACCAAGGTACTGAACACCGGTCGAGAAGTCAGTGGAGCCATATGGAATACCCGTGAGCATTGGAAACGGAGCTAGAGTCTGCGGCAGATACACTCACGACATGATTGAGAAAGGTTTGAAAGGAAGGAAAGGTGTCTACCGATTCGAAGAAGGCCGAATCAGGCGTCTCTCTGAAAAAGCTGGCGTAGAATAATGCTCTTGTCCACATCAAGAGAAATAATAAGTTACTTCATCCTGGGAGGGGGGATGAAAAATGCACCGGATGCACAACGCCGCCAGCTACACCAGAACAAGCTGTATTCAAGAAAGGCAAATCATATGCTGACGAAATTGCAACTCTACGCATCGTGATCACAGAACAGAGCGTAGAATGGCAGTCAGACCTATACCTCAACCTCCTTCATCGACTTCGAAAAGGCCTTCAGCAGGCAGCGTTGACCGAGAAGTAATTTTAAAACGGCTTCAACAATACGACGTGGAGTGCCCAAGTTTTCATCAACCTCACTCGATAATTAGTTATATGATAATGCCATGTGTCAGGTGATCCACAAATGGAAACTCAGGGAGGCGTCCGGAGTGAAAATATTAGTACAACAAGTTGATTGCCTAACTGCGGTGAACTGTATTATGCGTCAGACTATGATAA